TATGTGTTTTGACTTAGAAACACAATTTATATTCTAGAATTTCACAATTCAAATACTAAAAATACACAATTTATACGCCATTTATAACCATGGTCCACTTTGCAAGGTGTAATGGTCCATGGTATAAAAACTCGTCACATAGGGTGTAATTTAGCTAGCAAATTATATCATTCATCTCCATGGATCATAATTTATTATTATAATACTGTAAGTTTATTAAAAAATATCATTAATTATAACTTATTGTTAGGCTATCCTTATTCTTATCGTACTCTCTCACTTTTAAAAATGTCACAATTTTATTTTATATTATAAATATAATATAATAATAAAATAATAATGAAATACCAAATATATTGACATGACAATCGGTTACCTTTTAAAAGTAAGAAAGAACTACCTAGATAAATATAATAAAGAATTTGTTAAATGATGAACTTGTCATGTAAGCATGTGGTTTGGGTTCTCTAGTACAAGCCTCCAAGCTAGTATCTTTCGCTAGTAACTAATAATAATAACAACAACAACAACAACAATAATAATGGAAAATACTTTCAAAAAAAAAAACAATAATAATGGAAAATGATTAAATAGACCATCGAACATTACTTAAAAAATTAATTAGGTGTCTAAACTTTTTAAAGTTACAATTAAATACATTAACATGTTATTTTAATGCAATGAAGTCCAAAAGCCGATTAGTGACTTGTGATAGCAGGTCACTAGGGTTCCAGCATCATTTCTAATAAAAAATCAACCACCGGAGATCGGCACCGGTCGCCATAGAAAAACGGTTGCCTTCTATGGCGACCATTTGTGGTTGGTTCTGATCGTCTGGAGAAGGAGGCCAAGTTTGTTGAAATGTTCGTGTAATTGTTTGTTGAAATTAATGATTCATATTATTTTTTTATTTTTCTTATTTTACGCTATATTATACGGTGTATCATTTACTTTTTCTATATATCATTGTATTTCGTCAGTTTCAACTTTAGTAACGAAATATTTCATGAACTATTTATTATTGTTAATTTACTCATTTATTAAGGAAGGTCTTAGATTCGAACCACATCTCAATCAAAATTGACATAATTGTTAAACATATTCTAGGAATATGTTAGAGTGTATTAAAAATATATATATAATATAAAATTTAACATGAACTTTGGTCAATTAATTAGAATCACGCATTAGACATTGATGAAACGATACACCTAATTTAAAGTATATATGAAACGGTGCACCTAATTTACAGTATATATTCAATAGATGAGAAACTATACTTATTATCATTGTCTTTTTTGGGAACGATGATTTGGCTATATTTTTAAAGGTGCAACGCGCCAAGACACTAAGGGATCGTTTGGTTCACGGAATGTCAGATTACCTTAGGGAATGTCAGATTGCTGAGAATGTTAGATTACTGAGAATGTTAGATTCATGTGTTTGGTTAAAATTGGAGTATGTAATATAATGATGTTTGGTTTAGGGTTATCTTTTATACACACTATAATATCTTTAACATATTTTCATATATTTTAATAAATTTAAAAATTAAAATAAATAAATAAGATAACGGTATCATATATAATTACATGATTTTAAAATATTAACTAAAATCTTGAACTTGAGAAACAAAATTATTTTATATGCTAACATAACATAATAAAAATAAAAAATATATATATATATATAATTACAAAAATAATTATATATATATATATATATATATATATATATATATAATAAACTAACATAACCAAGGTTATCTTACATTACCTAAGATTTTGAAGGGAATCACATTCCCTTCAAAATCCTATGTGGAGGGAATGTTAAATTCCCTAAGATAATATGAACCAAACACCGGAATGTGAGTTTTGGAATGTCACATTCCCTTGGTTATGTTATATAACCTGAACCAAACGCCCCCTAAGGGGGCATTTGATTCAGGTTATATCAGATAACCAATGTTATATTTGTTTGGTAATATAAGATTCCCATGTTTGGTTCAGGTAACTTTCTCAGGGAATGTCCGCAATAAGTTTTTAGCTACTGGAAGGGAACGTGAGACCCTCTAATTTCTTAGGTAATCTCACATTCCTTTGTCTTATTACTAATATTGAGTTTTGGACGTTTTAATCAATTTATCTTATTACTGTTGTGAGTGTTGTCTTATTTACATATTTTAGTTTTAAACCAAACATAGGAATCTAACATTCCCTAAGATAATCTAACATTACGTAAACCAAACGCCCTCTAAAATTGCAGTGAAGCACACAAGAGGACTAGATCAAACCAATAATTCATTTCGCGAAAGTAGCAACAAGAGTAAACATGGATTACGCAATTAATAAGGTATTGTATTACAAAAAATATATTGAAGTACTATTCAATTAATAATGGTGCTTCCCTATAAAATTACTATTACATCAGTTAATCAATTTGACAAAGCAATACGCTTACAGCACGTTTGGTTCACGGAATGAATTTGGAGGTAATAGGAATGTTATTCCACAGGGAATGGAATAGGTAAGGAATAGAATAGGAATTGTATTATGTTATTTGGTTGGCTGAAGGAATAGACTTTAGTAATTGTATTCCAGTGTTTGGTTGATTAAAGGAATAGAAATGGAATAGGTTTTAAAGACATACACACCCTTATATAAAATAACAATAATAATAATAATAATAATAATAATAATAATAATAATAATAATAATAATAATAATAATAATAATAATAACAACAATAATGAATATGATTATGATATACTGAATGTTATATATATATATATATATATATATATATATATATATATATATATATATACATAAATGTATATCCACGTATGTATATCCATGTGTGTGTGTGAGAGAGTAACAATAATAATAATTGATGGAGAAATTTGACCCAGGGGTATATAATTATACGGGTCAATACTCTCGCGTATAATATAAAAGTAGTAAAATAGAAGAACAATATAATCGCAATAATATTTCCTTCTATTGATGTAGGACATTACAAGTGGATTGTAATAGTGAGACATGATCTTGTAATAATCCAATCGTTATGGCCTTGGACCCGTGTCCAGCATGTTTGCTGGACACGGGTAATAGTGCCGTTAGGCACTGTTATCTCCTTTTTTTTTTTCTTTTTTTTTTTTTTTAAAAAAAAAATTCAGATCACTTTGTTATAGAAGTATATGTTCATAATTTTATTACTATATGTTAATAACTATACATTCATAACTCCATAACTGTACGTTCATAACTCTATAACTATACATTCATAACTCTATAACTGTACATTCATAACTTCATAACTATACATTCATAACTCCATAATTGTACATTCATAATTTTCGAAGCTCTATGTTCACAATTTTAGAGCTCTATGTTCATAATTTTATCACTATATGTTCATAATTGTAAGTTCATAATGTTAGAGCTCTTTGTTCATAATTCGATCAATAACTGTACATTCATAATTCCATAACTGTAGATTCATAATCTCATAACTGTAGATTCATAACTCCATAACTGTACATTCATAATCTTCGAAGCTCTATATTCACAATTTTAAAGCTCCATGGTCATAATTTTATCACTATATATGTTCATAATTGTAAGTTCATAATGTTAGAGCTCTGTGTTCATAATTTCATAATTGCATAACTGTACATTCATAACGGCATAACTGTACATTCATAATAAAAAAAAAAATAATAACGCCGTTAATGGCAAAACACGCGCGAATTTTTTTTTTTTTTAACTAAATGACGCGTTTTTTTTTTTTAAAAACGACGTCGTTTTGGGCCCGTGTCCACAATTCAATGTGGACACGGGTCCAGAGCATAATTTGCCGTAATAATCGCACTAGGCTAATTTATACAAGATAAGGGCCAACAAACTTCCCTAAAGTCGTGGTAGGCCACAAGACTAAGTCTAGGCCCACATGGTGGGCCCACGAGACTATATCAAGGCCCATCGCTTTGGGCCTCGGAGGCAGGCTCTAGGCTTGAGACTCTTCTTGGGCCGCTCGGGTTATACATTTTCGGACCCGGGTCTCTATTATTATTGGGCCATTTCCAATATATCCATCAATAATAATAATAATAATAATAATAATAATAATTATTATTATTATTATTATTATTATTAGTAGTATACAAATACATAATCATATTTATATTTATTTTTTCACTTATCTCACATCGATTGGAGAAGTAAGAAATGGAGCCTTGAGACTCCTATAAAAGGAGCCTCAAGGCTCCATAATTTCAATTGCAATGCTCATTCGCTAGGCAAGCTTACAACGCCTATCCGCTAGGCATGCAGATGGGCAAGCTACTTAACTTAGGAGCCAAGGCTCCATAATTAAGGAGTCTTATAAAGTTAATTTTTTTTATTTACACACACACACACACACACACACACACATATATATATATATATATATATATATATATATATATATGTATATATATATATATGTGTGTGTGTGTGTGTTGATAGATTGATGGATAAAAATTATAATTAATTAAATATATACATTTATATAATACATTATATTTATTAAATAAATATAAATATTATATAATGTGCAAATGGTATTTTTGGTATTTATGATATAAAAGCTATTCCCAAGGACATGGGAATAGCTAATACCAAGGCCCCCCTAGGAATGGCTATTCCCTTTGCAAAGGTAATAGCTCATTCCTAGGCATGCTATTCTCATGGCAAAATGATCCAACCAAACGATGAAATAGGTCTATTCCAAGGAATGTTATTCCATTTCTGACCTATTCCATGAACCAAACATGCCATTATAGTAACTAGAATCCTGTGTACGCATATACATACATACATATATATATATATATATATATATATGTCATGTTTAATTTAATAGGCTTTGATATCATTATAACAATATTCTAAGTTCATTAACATTATTATTTTTTTTTTACTAAACAAACAAAGCCTAAGTAAACATTAATTCCCATCCTTAAATTCTATTCGACCACGTTTACGGTTCTTTCTCTTCTTTTAGATAGGCTTGATTTCCCCCTTAATAATCTAAGTATCCAACAAATATGAGTGGTGGAGGGGCGATGAGAGCGGCGGCGGTGGCGAAGGCAGCCGGAATCACTGTTGCCAACAGTGGCTTTCGGGGAATCGCGTCGGAGCATCCTGTATCTTCTGCCGCTCGCAAGGTTGTCCGCCCGGTCTCCGTTTCCGGGATTTCGTCTTCTTCGGACCACCTGAAGTCGAGTGCTGTTTCAGCTTCACAAAGCACTGCGGTGGATGGAGCACCCGTGCAGTGGCCATGCCGGGAGCTCGATGGCTGGGAATTTGCCGGCGGGGACGAGGAGGAGATGGTCGCCGCTGGTGAGCCGCTCCCGAGACTCATCTTTGGTGGCGCCCCTTCTCTCCAGGAGGCCAAAGAGGCCACTTTCGATCTCAAAGACGCCCTTCACAAGTACGGAGTAATTTCCTTTCTGTCAAATTATCTTTTAAATATCATTATTTTACGCAATCCTGCTCTGTATATCACTTTTCTCCTGGACCCAAAGTCCCAAAGTTAAAATTTGGTGAAAAGATTTGATCTTTCGTACAGTTTCTTGGACTAGCAACTGTTTTGTTATGCTTGGGTGGCGAGGGTTTTATCATTTGGACTGGCAAATTGATTTTGTTGTTTGGATAGAGTGCTGGGCATCTTTAAAGTCTTCATAATTCTCTGTAAATTATGATGAGAGTATTACTTTTTTACAGTTGTGGTTTCTTGATGGAACATGAGAAAAAATCAAGCATTCTTCTTGAAAGGCCGTGATGTTATTTTACTATGAGTTTGAATCTCAATTATGTGTTTTAGCATTCTGATTTATACTTCCTTTACTTTTCTGCCTTACATGTACACCCGATGAATTTACGGGATATGGCTTAATCTTGTATATTTTTAGGGTGTATAATATGAGCACACCTCCCAGTGACTGTGGAAGTACCAATGGTGCTGCTCAAGTGAATAATGACCACTCCCCACCATCGAACTCCTCTAGTGAAAACGCCATCGCTCATGGGGCACCAAAACATGCCATTCGGGCATTTAAGTTCCTCTATGAAAATGCTGCTGCCCAGGTATTTATTCTTCTCATTTAGTTTCCGGTTCTTTGGCAGGGACTCTGAGAATTTGAGCTAAAATGCTATGGTTGGAAATCTATGCTGAGATTTTGTGAATAGAAATTAAAAGGCTATTATTTATGTATTTATTTGTTTTCTTTAGAGCATGTATTTGGCCTTGTTTGGTAAAATAGTTAGCCTATAGGCCAATTTTAGCTTATTTGATCACTATTAGTTGTTGGACTTGGTTTAAAAATCAATATAAGTGTTTGGTTAATTAGCTTTTTGTACTCCAAAATGCTAAAATTCAAAAAGCTACTCAAAGCAACTTTTTCAATTAGTTTTTTGAGAAAAGAAATTATACCAAACAGCTATAAGCTAACAGCTAATTTACCAAACACCTTTCTACAATCAGCTAATGTTATCAACTAGTTATACGCTCTAATTAACCCAATCAGCTAACAGCCATTTACCAAACATGGCCTTTGTCTTTATATTTGATACTAACGTTTATTTTGGTTTTTCTTCCAGACTGTTGTTGCTTCAATTGCTTCTGATCCAAACGTTTGGAACGCAGTTTTGGCAAACCCAGAGCTCCAGGAATTCCTCGTGTCACAGAAAACCAGTATGCTTGGTATCATTGTTTTAAACTGTTTGCAGTTTCCTACGTTTTCATTCCATTCCCGTGATTGCAGGTGCTTATGTCCTCGATGGTGAGTACAGCGTGGAGGAATCCATTGCAGAGACTGATTTCTTACGTTATTCATCACCGAGGAATGATGACTTGACATCAGAAGACGGGTCCCCTAAACCCGGGAATGGTTTTACAGATTTCTTGCAGAATATTAAAGTGGCAGTTCTTGATATGATGAACTGCTTATCCGATTTCTTCCAAAATCTCTTCGGAGGTCACAAAGTATTTGCAGATGCTGATGGAAGTGCCAAAACAAGCGTGGTGGATAGAGCCTTGGGTGCGTCGTTTATGGGATTGGCAATCATGGCGATAATGGTGGTTGTGCTGAAACGAGCTTGATCATATTCTGCAAGAATTCGTCGAAGCTACAATATATGTATATATTATAGACTTATAGTTCAATTTGGTTACTAAATTTCTTTTGGAATGAACAATGGAGCATGTACTATAATATAAGACCAGAATAAAGAAATTCATGAAAACTATAATAAAATTGTACATTTTCTCCCCATCTCTAAGCTTCTTGTTTTGTCTTCCTTCTGAAGGGTGTCCAAAATTTATAGATAAAATTTTTGCATTCCTGTGGCTAAAACCTGATTACATTTGATATCTCAAATGTGCATTTGGTCTCAGCATATTTTTGAACCATTTAGCAGAAGACTTGGGTGTTCTTGTGAGGTTATTCTTAAAGTCCACGAAATATAATCCAAACCGAACACTAAAACCCATGTTCCATTCCCAGTTGTCAAGCAAGGACCACACGAAGTAACCTCGGACATTGCAGTTATCTTCCCTGCATATATAACACAACTTTTATGTCATTCAAGAAAATCTCAGAGTCTCTCTGGAAAGAGATGAGGATGAGAAACACACCTTATAGCAGCAGATATGTTGGAGAGATAATTCTGGTGATAATCTATCCTTTTCTGGTCCAGCAAAGCCTCTTCTAATGGCATGTGGTGTTTATTTGGATCATCCATTCCTGTATTTTTTTTACATGAAATTCAAGAAATTGTGATAATGAGTGCTTATTTTTTGCAGGATGAATCAATCAATCACTCACCATTTTCAGTAATAAGCACCAGCGGGTTCCCATATTTCTCTCGAACATAATTCAGTAGCTTTCGGATTCCCCATGGCACAATGCGCAACCAGTGAGATGCAGACTGGAGATGCAGCACTAGTTAGTCAGGGCTCTAAGCAACACATGGACCATAGTCGCTTTTTATCGGGTGACAGAAAGATTCAAACCCATGACTTTTTATTGGATCTGATACCAAATTGAAACATGCTGATAGTTGGATTGCACATATATATATGCTCAAAGAGGGCTTACCGTTTCACCAATTGCAACACCATGCTTGAAAGCTGAGGTTCAAAAAACCATTTTTTTTGTTCATCATGTCTTCAAAAACAACAAATGGGAAAGGAGGGTTGTGGTTATGGAACCTTACCGGTTGTTATTACAGCAGAATCAGAGCTTGCATCCTGCATGAAAAACTTCTTGATCCTAAATCTGTCGTTTCGAGCATAATATGAGGTGTAGTGGTTGATGCCAATGAAGTCCAAACACCCTTTAAGCTGTCTCGACACTTCACCGCTAATCTCAGGCAGTCTCTCACCCACCAAGCTCTGCATCGAGACAGGATATTCCCCGAGGAGGAGTGGATCAAGGATCCTGGTTCAAATCCATTTCTGTTACACATTGTTACTAAACACTCGAGATTTTCTACAAAGGTGATATAAGTTAGTAAATTTACCACCCGAGCCCAAAATCCATTTCTCTACTTGCAGCTGCCTTGTCCTCGTCGCTCTCAGAAATTGGCTCATACCATTTGATATCCAGTGCAATACCAATTCGCCCGCCTTGACTTCTCTGGTGAACAAAAATGTAGAGTTACAACTTACATATACTATTTCCTAACAAGGTATATGACAGAAATTCTTCTTGTTTGAAATAAAACACCTTGAAATTACGATGATAAGAATGATAAACAGCAGCATGAGACAACAGAATGTTGTGAGCTACGATATATGGCTCGGTGGATGATTTTCCTTCCTTGCAGAACAAATGTCCAAGAATTGAGCACCTCCCAGGAGCTTGAACCCCCAAGTCATAACCTTGGATTGTATAACCGTGTGGCTCGTTAAAGGTGATCCAGTTCTTGACTCGATCCCCGAAAAATTTGAAGCAGGTAAATGCATAATGTTCAAAATCCTTGCTGCAATAAAGGAGAGTTTATCAGTCCTACATATATATACTCCATTTTAGACATCAAAAAACCCCATTTTGCGGTCTTCTTGATTTGAGCTAGTCAGCTACGAACGACCTAGGCTGGTCTTTTGTCAACTAGGATCAGTACACACTCAAGTAGTGGCTGCGGGTTTCTCTCGTCATCCAAAAAAAAGTAAAAAAAAAAAACTCATTTTGCCACACATACATACACTATCTGATTGCTCAAGAATCCCCCATATGTGTCTTCAAGACTCTGAGGCAGATCCCAGTGATAAAGAGTTGCAAATGGTTGAATTCCTGTTACAAAAACAAAACATTATTAAAGATGCTTTCACAATTCACATGCATCTTATTATCTTATTTCCCATTTACCTTTCTCTAGTAAAGCATCTATGAGATTATTGTAGTACTCTATTCCTTTTGGATTTGGTTCTCCAGTACCATCTACATGGCATGGGGAAAGCATACATTAAATTAAAGCAGTTAGCAGTACCATATATATATATATATATATATATATACATTTAAGGATTCGGGATGTGATAGAAAAACAGAATCATCTATCGTACTTGGGAAAATTCTTGTCCATGAAATAGAGAATCTGTAAGCATCCATTCCCAAGTCCTTCATCAAGTCTATGTCACCCTTCATTCAATTCAAGGTTACCTCATGGTAGTTAACAAGGGACAAAGATCATCAGAGGGACAGACTAGTAGACAAACATGATGCTTTTGAGAATTTTATTATTAATATATGTGGTCGGTTCTTAATTCTTATCTCATAATGTCGATTTGTCATCTGCAATTTTTTATTCTAAGCTATTAATAGACTGTTTGACAAGATAGCCTTCCTTATCCAGAGCATTTAGCTCGCATGAGTAATTCAGTTGGTTCTTGAATAATAGATTGTGAGCAAGTATCAAAACAACATAATAATACCCGAAACCGATGATATTGATCAACTGTTGTGTTTGCATTGCTAAAGTCCAGAATTCTTCCTGTTTATTAAACATATATAATTCAGAAAAAAAAAAACAAAAAAAACCCATGATTTTGCATTGCTTAATAAATGGCAGCAGAAGAAGTTTATACGTACCTGGTTTGTTGGAGAAGGTATCCCAGATGCTGGGTCCTTTGTTTCCTTCATCCACAGCGCCCTCGAACTATATATGAAACCCAAGTTGAACAGTAAAAATGGAGGATATAAGAAGATAGACATGAAAGGGAAAAACAGGGAAGAAAAGGTTAAAGCTAGAGGTGTCTGGTAAAACCTGGAAAGCTGAAGAAGAGGTTCCGAAGATGAAACCATGTGGGAAATCAGCACGGGTGATTGATTCTGACTTTAGGAAGAGAGATGCTAAGCAGAAGAGTGCTACAATGGTTGCCATGGAGAATCCTACCTGGTTTACAACTGAAGCAATCCAATCAAATGTCAAGTGCAACCTCTGCCTTGACGTGTATAAATATATACCTTCACGGTTTAGTGTTTTTTTGAAATATAAATTATTGGCTTTATAGAATTCTTTTGTATATACAATATTTAGGACATATAAAGGAGGGCGGTTCGATTGCTTTCACCGCCCTTAAAATGGTTGTGATATGATGTTGGTTTAAGACGTCCTTAATATTTTATATATACTTTAGTTTATAGATAGCCACTGCCCTAACTATATGTGTAAAGGAAACCTTATTTAATTCAAATAATTTGTAAGTATAAAAAAAATTATAATGAAAATAGAATTACAAATTTTCTAATTATAACCCTTTTTTTGTTGGTACTCATATTTATAAACCTTGCCAATTCAAAAATCCTTATAGAACTCATGTTCTAGTAGGAGACATATTTTATATTTCTATCTCCTTGAGTGTAAGCCAGGTATAAAACGTGGTGAAAATTGAACGTAATTTTTATAAACCATTTAGTTAATCATCTATCATTCCACCTAAAATAAATATCAATTTCAAGGTATTAATTTTAAAGAGATTTTTTTTTCATTTTTAACCGATTATTGTATATATTTTTATACCGTGTTTGATTATCAAATTCATGCCATATTTGATTCTTTTGATAAATTTTGTAAACCCACTTTAATTGAAATATCTTACCCCGACTGTCAAGTGAGTTATTTGAATTTGAGCAACGTGTAGATTGCGAAATAAAATATAATGATTATGTGGTTAGCAGTTAGCACCGATAACAATAAGATAGGGTTGGGAAGGACCAAATGTAGTTGAAATAATTCAATAACAATACACCAAATGAGGAAAAATTGATAACTAGATACCAAAAAAAGCTCTTTAAAAGACGAAAGAATCCAAAATTTACTATATGAACTCATGTCATCTTTTAGCTTCTAATATCTTGCTAGATCGTAAATAGCGAGTTAGCTATTCAATTTAAGTAATATGATAAAAATATATACTCTCGAGATTACAATTATATCGTGACTTCACTTGTTTGGGTTGTTGACAAAAGAGTAAAAGAAACTGAGAAGAAAAGTAAATTGTGAGAAAGTTAGAGAGAGGGGTCTCTTGTTGCGGAAGTAATGGTTTGGATGACAGCAGATCGATGTGATAAGAGAGAAAGAGAGTTTAGTTTGAAAAGAAAGGCATTCCAAAGAGATAGTGATGGTGGCAAACTAAACTAGGAATTCATTGCTTTGACGTAGTTTCAAATGCCTCAAATGCTTACAAGTGAACCACAAGCTGTCTAATCTCCATTCGGCAATATATTATTGTGTTAGGTATGAGAGAATGAAGTTGTAAAGATTAGGATTGTATTGTTTGCTGGAAAAGCATTGGATTTTGTGTTTTTCATTCTTATTGATTTTGTATACCCACAAAGGAAACTATTAATTCTTGATGCATAGTGTAATTTCTTGATGGTGATTTTCATGATTTGCAAATTTTACCATATTTTTCTTTTTCTCTCAAAAGTTGAATCCTTCACCTCAAAACTCCTCATACCTCGGTCCAACAAAACATTTAGAAATATATGATTACCTTGATTTGACAGAACATTTGAAAATATGTAAATCACGGTGACTCAATAACTCAACAGACAGGACTAAATTTGTGTATTCATAAGTTATAATGTAAGCCTAATTTTTGTTCATAATTAATACTCCGTATAAAGTCACAATAATACCCTTAATTACTTACTAATGTGACATATTTATTCTTTGTTCTGAAAAATGTTCACCGAGTATTATTTTGGACAGAAAATTTCACATGTGTTTCTAGCATGAGTTGTAATTGAGGAAAAATTAATAAC